TCAACCTTTTTTTTCACATGTATATGTATAGTCTCTGACTTTTCAACGCTATCATCGTCTTCTTTTCTTTGTAGTTTATCTTCTACAAAGATAACATCCCTGCTAATGATCACTTTGCAGGCAGTGAGATCCCACAAGCGATACCCACCCCTTTACACCATCAGCATATCCCAAGAATTACATTTCCTGGATTTTGGATCCAACTTTGAAATTTCTTGGAAGTTGTACATCATATACACAATACTTCCAAATACATGGAGATTTGAATAATCAGCTGGTTTACCAGTCCACATCTCTATTGGTGTCTTCAACTCTATTGCAGTTGATGGAGCTCGATTCACCAAATAACAGGCGGTATTGATTGCTTCTGCCCAGAATGATTTTTCTAGGCTTGCATCCCTCAACATTACTCTTGTTCTTTATAACAAGGTTTTGTTCATCCGCTCTGCCCCTCCATTTTGTTGAGGAGTGTTTGCCAATGTGAGCTGTCTTTTGATGCCTTCTTTCCTGCAAAAGTCATCAAATTCTTCACTTGTGTATTCTCCTCCATTATCTGTTCTGAAACACTTGATCTTATTTTCATAATCAAGTTCCACCCACGCTTTGAAGTTTTTGAAAGTTGAAAACACATCTGACTTCTTCTTAATAGGATACACCCAACATCTCCTGGAGTAGTCATCAATAAATGAGACAAAGTATTTTTCTCCACCTAGGGATGTAACTGGTGCTTGCCATACGTCAGAATGAACCAATTCTAGAATATTTTTTTCCTTTAGAATTTGATGTGTTGAATTTCAACCGGTGTTGCTTACTTGTTATGCAATCCTCACACAAAGTAAGTGATACCTTTGTTAAGCCTGGAAGTAGCTTTTGGTCCACAAGGACTTTCATTCCTTATTCTGACATGTGTCCAAGTTTCTGATGCCATAGCATTGCAGAATCTGAACTACATGAGGCAACAGAGGCTTCTGCTTCTAGCAAAGTTTCTCCCTTCAGCATGTACAAGTTTACTGCTATCTTTTCGCCTTTCAACACCACAAGCGCTCCACGGAACACCTTCATGATTCCTTTTTGTGTTTCAATCTTGCTTGCATTATTATCCAACAATCTGTAGGATAATAAATTTTTCTTCAGGCCTTTCACGTGCCGCACATCTCGAACAACTTTAATTGTTCCATCATACATCTTCAATTTGATGGTTCCCACGCCAACGATATCTAAGGCATGATCATTGCAACTATACACAGATCCTCCTGAGACAGGTTCATAATGATGGAATCATCTCTTCTTGAGGTCATATGATATGTTGCTCCCGAATCAATGAGCCATATATCTGCAAATCTTTTTCTGCCTTCCACGGTGGTTGACACTTCACAACATAGAGCATCTCCATCATCTGAAGTGTTTGCGGTATTGCCTTGTGGATTGGAGTTTTTATTTAGACTCCAACAATCCTTCTTCAAGTGACCCTTCTTTCCACAGTTATAACACTTTAAATTCTTCTTGCTCCTCGAATTCGATTTACCATGTTTGTGACTGATGATTTGGCCACGTTCTGTTGATCTCCCTCTCATCGTTGTCATCGTTGTCAATGCTTCTGCTTGTTGTAGATTTACTTGTTTGTCTTCCTTGTTCTTGCGTCGATTTTCTTCTTGTAAAACAACAGCTGCAACGTCATCGAAGACTAGACTAGTGACATTACTGTTTGTCAAGTTGATGATGAGTTGATCATACGAATCCGGTAGACTTTGAAGTAGAAGTTCAGAACGTTCTTGTTCTCCTATTTTACAGCTTAAGGATGTAAGCTGAGAAAATAAATTGTTTAGTGTATTTAAGTGATCCGTCACTGAAGTAGATTCTGGCATACGAAGAGTGTACAATTTTCTCTTAAGGAAAATTTTATTGTGCAGTGATGTGGCCTCGTACAGTTTGGTGAGATGATCCCATATCTCCTTAGCTGTCTTCTTCTCCTCGATGCCTGACAATACTTCATCTGCTAATGCTAGATGAAAGTTTGTCATAGCATTCCCGTCCATTTCAATCCATTTGTTGTCATCTGTGAAATCTACCGACCTTTCACTGATAGTTGCTAGACAACCGTCTTTCCTCAGGATAGCTTTCATCTTCAATTTCCACAATGAGAAATTTCTCTTATTGAATTTTCAATATCAAATTTCGTTGTCATAACTTCTATTACAGATAGCTCCCACTATTTCACTATCGTTAATAGTTCTCTTGAACCTTCAAAGAATGGGTAATATCTTCTTACTTTCTTATGTTGGAGGATCCACCTTTTGGTGGCAACCACAAAGAAAATAAGCATATATTACACACTCAAATCTGGCTTTGATACCAATTGTTGCGGAAGACGGCTATCGGATAGAGCAAAATCGCAACTAATAATTTGAGAAAATAAAAATAAAGATAAAAAAGACACAAAATTTACGTGGAAAACCCCTAAATAATATAGGGTAAAAACCACGAGCAACAATAGAAAAATTTCACTATGAGAAAATATGAATTACAACTTCTCTCGATCTACCAAGGAGAAAAAAATGATAATTCTCTCTTGATAAAAAAGATAAAACAACTCTCAAGAAACTATCTAAATTCTCTCTAGTATTGGAAGAAAGCTAGAATGCTTTGGGATGGTTTTGAAGCTAAATGAGCTAGGGTATTTATAGTTGAAGCTTAAGGACTAATTTGTAAATACCCTAAATTACAATGACTAAAATTTGTATTTTTCCCTTTCATTTTTTCAACAAATTCAAGCTTGAATTCGGTGCAATAAATGCACCACTTTCACCGAAAGTTTCCCAACAATTTCCATCGAAATTAGCCTACAAATGTTGACTTTTTAACAATTTTCCCCTCTTCCCCGTTACTATGATATTATAGTGTCCTGATGAACTTAAAATCCATTATGATGGAATCGTTATATTGCATTACACCTTTAATCTTGAGGAAAAGCCAGTTCCGGATATTGTAAACAAATGATGATCAAATCTGCCAAGTCCTTTTTTTCTTGGGCAATTTTTTTTTATAAATATAGGAGGTCTCACTAAAAAACCCTCTTTCATAATTACCAATCCCCGGAGTGTTTGGTAAAAAGCAGAAGGGGAAAAGGGTACCTCATTTTATTATAAAATTGGCTTAAATGGCCCAAAAATACAACAAATAGTCTACAATAACCTTGCAAAAATATAAAACCTTACAAACCCTGAAACAACTACATATATAAAAGCCCCAACCATACCCAAACTATCCTATTCCCTTTTTAGCTAAGTCATCGGCTTCCCAATTGGGCACCTACTAATCACCTTGATGGTAATATCATCTCTACGAATTATAGAACCTATCTCCTTTGCTAAACTAACGTAAGGAGCAGGGCATCCTGAAGGATCCTTTATCCACATAACAGCGTTGCTACAATCGTAGTCCAAAATTAGTTGACCAAATCTACAACCACTGGACGAAGTTCCAATGATAATACCCTCTTTAACAGCTTTTAGTTCTGCAAAAACTGAAGGGACCAGACTAACTGGAATTGAGGAGCCCAAAGTTTGACCACACGAATCTCTTACCAGTCCGCCAATACCACCCTTTTCCCAGTCCAAATTAACAGCACCATCAACATTTACCTTGTAATAGCCTGGAGGAGGATGAGACCAAGAAACAGAAGGAGCAACAGGCTGCCTCCACAATGGACTTGAATTTACTAGTAAGGGATCGCAAATCAAAGGATCCAGACTCAATCTAGAAATAGGGAACTTAGCTACAAACCAGGAGGCCAAACAATATCTTGCTACGAAGTATAAAGAAATAGAATCATCTGATCCATTGTCGAAAACCAATGAGTTCTTATATTTCCAAATTGACCAGATAACTACCCCGGGATAAACAGCCACATATTAGATTTAGGAATTAAACTATCCCATTATGTCAGGAGGGAAATAAGATCCTCTGGAATGACCACTGATAAACCCTAAAAACTAATCAAATGATTCCAGAGACCCCAAGATATAACACAAGAAAGAACAGGTAGGCGGGAGACTGTTTCGAGGCACGATTTACACAAAGGACATAGCACATTTTCCACCGCTATGACCCCTCTTTTGATCATATTCGATTTAACTGCCACCTTCTGAAGAGCTACTTGCCACAACAGTGTCTCCACCCTTGGAGGAACCGGTCCCTTCCAAACGTAGCTTAGTCCACAATGCCAATCTCCCTCATTACTAAGTAGCATCTCTCACCATTCCCCATCCGAATCATACCATCTTTAGCATCCAAAACAGGACTCACACTGGATAATAGAGTCATTAAGTTTACCCACTGATTTAGTTCCCAATCCGCTAGGTTCCTTCTCATCCGGATATTCCAAACCCAACACGCTGAATTAACGTTTCCATATTCTTCTTTCTTCCCATCCTTACTCAGTGAGAGAAAATTCTGGGAAATTGAGACTTCAAAGGGGTATTGTCTAGCCAACGGTCTCCACTTAATATGGCTTTGATAACACATTCCAAACCTGTCTTCTTTCGTATAATTATCAACAATCGCTCTCCATAACCACGAGGCCTGTTTGAAAATGCAATTAGTCAAAAATAATGACTGAGGATCCAAATTATATCTACTGCATATTACATTTTTCCACGATGAATCTGACCCACTGCCGAATTTCCACACCCATTTTCCAAGTAACGCTTGGTTTAGTGTTCTTGGGCAAATATCAGTCATTTTGCCTTCTTGTTTTACTTATGATTAATATTCTGAGCAATAGAATTGTTCAAGCATTATCTGCTGTGCAAATTTGTAATTTGATAACAATGTTTCTTTCTTCCCTCACTTTCCAAGGGTTTTAATTCAAAGCCCTACAAGCATAGGCTACCTACCAATGTCATCAAGAATTTGTCCTATTGAAACTCTAGGAAGAACGCTTAAAACAAGAAGGCTGATGTCTACTTATCATCGCATCTATTTCCTGAAACCACCTGCAAGGCTATACTCAATCATGTCCAAACTGCTACCCGATTTCGCTCTTTCCAATTCTGCATTGCGATTTGTTTCCGAATCAGACTTGCCATCGTTTGCCGTTCAACCCAAACTCAAATCCAACTTGCTTTCATTCAGATCTTGCCGCACTATTTTATTTTCCTCCTGAGACAGAAAATTGGGGTTAAAATTAAACCTTCTCTATGAATCAGTGCGATAGAGATGTCATTTATCATTCATGTTTTACGTTTTAGTTTCTTAAAGAACTCATTTATCATTCATGTTTTACGTTTTAGTTTCTTAAAGAACTCAAACGACAAGGACCTGCAGGTCCTGTCCCAATCCCCCCAGCCTCCCTTTCAAATGACTGAATGAGTGTAGAATGAGAGTTTGCTGCTCACCTGACTTTCATCCATCGGTGTGTAGTTAATGTCCGGTTTTTCGTCAAAACCATCATTCCTGGAAGTTGGCTCTGCAGCACTAGCGTCATCCTCACTCGGTTTAGCTTCATCATCAACGTTTTCAGCAGCTTCCATGTTCTGTTCCTCTAGCACAGCAATCTACATGTTCAAACAGTCAAAATAAGTATACAATCTAACAATCTGAAATGATCTTATAACTTATTTCCACCTAGAATTGTTATACGAAGCAATTTGACAAACCTGTGAATGTTAGCATATCCGGATTATCCAATCAAAAACTTAAAAAGAAATCACAATAGGCAGACAAAAGCACCCATTCTCGGCGGTTGATATGAACAAGAGCAGAGAGACATACTAGATTAGATCAGATAGGTCTAAGCATTACAACAACCGTGTTCAACTTAAAGCAACTGCATATGGTGCCATTTGAGTTTAATTAGTCAGAGTAAAAGAAATGAGATGCTAGTCTCGGTCCTCTTCCCTTTCCACCTCCACTCCAACAGTTCCACTATCATCAAATTATTGGTTTCAAAGCTTTCCAGACTTCGGACTCGATCTAAGAGCATAAGGATGGCAAGCAGCTCAACTTTGTACCCTTATGGATAATTTTCAAAATTAGCTATCGAATTAAAGCTTAGCTGATAAGGAAGCTATGGTTCTAGGAAGAAATTATGACGAGTGAAACAGAAATGGAAACTCCAATGCATCAAGGCCATGCCAAACTATAGTGAACCGATGTTGCTCAAACTCTTCATATGTTGCTCGGACTCTTCATTCTTCTTGAAATGCACATGTTTTACACATGGATTCGAGTATATATCTTCCCGGTATATGGAAAAACTTGGAAAAATCTAACCGTACTCGTGTAAAATACATATCCAAATTGGGTACTCACACCTAAATTCTAGCATAGTAGCGAAGAACAAACATTGATATGCTAAATTTTCAGTCATTTATCAATAAAATTCCCTTATAAACCATTTACATCTTTCCACACACATTAAAGCACTTAACAGCAAGCCAACTCATAGTTCCCTTGAAGAAACACGGAGCATTATCAAACCAAAACCCAGCTAACAGATCAGCCAATTATACAGAAGACACAGCATAATAAAATCCTAAATTCCAGCAACAACAAAAAAAAACACCAAGAAACTGACTTCAGTTAAAACAAGGTAAAATGAGAAGGAAAATTCGACATTGATGAACACCCAAGGAAGAGAATACAAGGATGTCTTTAAATTTCCGCCTCGGAGGCTCCTCGGGAGACGCCACGTCATCGTCCTTGGAAGAATCGTTGGGGCTACTGTTGTTGTTTTGGCTTTGTGATAAAGGGGTCCATATAAAAAGCACGAGATGAGAGCCGTTATTACCGTTAGAAATACCGTTGGTGCTGTGGTGATTATTATTGTTATTTTGAGAGGGATTATTGTTGTTGCTGCTGCCAGTGTTAGATGGGAAAACGTGGACCCATTTCTTCTTCCATTTCCTGACCGGCCCAGTGAGCACCGTGGCTGGTCCGTACCGGGTGGAGGACCGCCCGAATCGAGCCCCCACTCCTTCCATTGACTCGTTCGCGTCAGATCGGTATCGTATTCGCTGTGAGCCTGTGACTCGGCTCTATGTTAAAGAGAACTTTTCTTTATTTCCCTCTCACTTAGATCTCTCCCCTTTTTTACTGGTGATATTATGTTGATAGAGTTGGGGTCGGATTCATGCTCCGAGTTGCAACTTTAAAGGGCGAATCAGAACCCATAAACGAGTGTATTGGCTCATTGATTTCGTAATATTACTGATTGGATAATTTGAAAATACTTTTGGTGTGCTTTCTATACAAACCCCAAACAAATAAATTTACAACCCAACCCTACAGCAGCTTAAGAAAACCAAACAAAAAACCAGAAAACCAAAACATTGCAAACAGGGCAAAGACTAAAACCCCATTCATCAACTAAAGAAATATCAAAACTAGAAACTCTTCGATATCCAAAAAGCCTTAGCCTAGTATCAATTTTAATCAAAGAAAAAATATCAGGACATTGACGTATACTGACTACCATTCTTGCCAAATATGTTGAAAATCAAAGCCACCGGCTTCTTTGAATAAATGATGGTTGTTTTGAATAAATGGGGCTGCTTTGATTTCAAAGTTTAACATCCTGAATTTGGGCAAGGGTTAATCATCAAATTGAGTCATTGAATTTTAAGATATTTATAAGATTAGTCTTTAAGCTTCAACTGTAAATATCATATCCCATTTAGTTTCAAAATCATCCCAAATCATTTCTTTCTCCCAATACTAGAGAGTTTTCTTGTGAGTAGTGAGTGTTTTATAAACACCTGTAAATTTTCTCTCTTAGTAAAAGATCTGCAGTAGTCCGGAGACGTAAGCACAATTGGCTGAACTCCGTTATCAATTTCGAGTATTACTTTTCCGCTTTTATTTCGCATTCTCACTAATCTGGTTATAGAAAAATTACTCGTACTCGGTTTATTTCCTAACAACTGGTAATCAGAGCTTTTGGTTGTCAATTTTGTCAATTTTTGCGAGGTTACTATTCATTACTATTCACGTGAATAGTAAAAAATTATCGGCGATACGAATTTGTCGACGGAGGTGTTCTAATACACGGTGATTCGCAAGAATTGTCAGAAACGATCCAAACGAAGCCATATTCGAGTGGGAGCGATGACTGCAGACGAAGGGAATGTGAAAATTAAAAAGTTCGATAGTGCGAACTTTGGCTTTTGGAATATGCAGATTGAAGATTTTCTGTACTAGAAAAATCTATATCAACCCCTCTTAGGAAAGCAACCAAAGTGCATGAAGAATGAAAACTGGGCTCTTCTAGACAATCCCTCAGAGTTATCCGACTGACGTTATCCCGTAATATTGCTTTCAATATAGCAAAGGAAAATACCACGGCGGGTCTTATGGTGGCTCTCTCCAGTATGTATGAGAAGTCATCGGCCTCAAACAAAGTTCATTTGATGAGGCGATTATTCAATTTGCGGATGGTGGAAGGGCCATCGGTGGCACAAATCCTAAATGAACTCAACACAATCACAACCCAGTTGAGTTCAGTGGAAATTGAATTCGATGATGAAGTTCGAGCTTTAATTCTCTTATAATCTCTACTAGACAGTTGGAATGCTACTGTTACAGCAGTCAGCAGCTCGTCAGGAAACAACAAATTAAAATTCGACGATGTTCGGGATCTGATATTGAGTGAAAAAATTCTACGAAGAGAATCGGGTGAAGCATCAACCTCCTCAGCCTTACACACGGAGTCTAGAGGGAGAACTTCATAAAGAAATTTAAATCGTGGCAGATCCAAATCCAGAAGGGGAAAATCAAGAACGGGAAAGAAAGATTATACCTGTTATGATTGCGGCAAGAAGGGTCACTTTAAAAGAGAATGTCGAGCACCAAAGAAAGACACTGGCGCACAGGAATCTGCCAACATGACAAAGGAGACAGGTGATGCCATGATTTTAAGCGTCAACAGTCCGATTAAATCATGGATCTTGGATGCAGGGGAATCTTTACACTCCACCCCATGCCAAGAAATCATGGAGAACTATGCCAATGGTGATTTTGGGAAGGTTCATCTAGCTGATGATGAAACCTTGAAGATCATCGGAAAAGGAGACATCCGATTAAAGTTGCCAAACCAGACCACTTGGACGCTGAAAGGAGTGAGACATATTCCTGGCCTTAAAAGAAATTTGATTTCTGTAGGACAGCTTGATGGAAAGGATATAGCACAACCTTTTCAGGCTGTGAATGGAAGATTACCAAAGGAGCACTCGTCATTGCTTGTGGTAAGAAGACTGGTACTCTCTATGTAACCTCAAATTTAGAGAACATCATTGCAGTAGCAGATACTGATGAAAAATTAAACATATGGCACCAAAGGCTTGGCCATATGAGCGAGAAAGGGATGAAGACACTTTTGTCAAAAGGGAATCTGTCGGATCTAAAGAACGTAGATGTTGGACTATGTGAAGATTGCATCTTTGAAAAACAAAATAAAGTCAGTTTTGCAAAGATTGGGAAGATACCCAAGGCTGAAAAATTAGAGTTTGTTCATACTGATGTATGTGGACTATCTCCAGTTCCATCTCTTACAGACTCACTATATTATGTCACCTTCATCGATGATTCAACAAGGAATGTGTGGGTTTATTTTCTGAAGAAGAAATCAGAAGTCTTTGATACCTTCAGAAAATGGAAGATCATGGTGAAAAATGAGACTGGTTTGAAAGTCAAGCGGTTGAGGTTTGACAATGGATGAGAGTACAAAAACAGTAGATTTAGAGATTTCTGCGCAAACAATGGGATCAAGATGGAGACAATAGTTCCCATGACATCGCAACATAATGGCGTAGCAGAGCGCATGAACAGAACTCTGAATGAACGTGCCAGAAGCATGAGGATACATGCCAGATTGCCCAAATTGCTATGGGCTGAAGCTATCAACGCTGCAGCTTACCTGATCAACCGTGGGCCCTCAGTTTATTTGGATGGTGGAATACCAGAGAAAGCTTGGAGAATAAAAGAAATAAACCTTTCACACTTAAGAGTGTTTGGTTGTATTTCTTATGTACATATAAATTCTGCTGAAATAAGTAAACTTGACGCCAAGTCCAACAAATGTGTCATTGTTGGTTATGGTGGCGATGAGTTCGGCTACCGGTTTTGGGACTACGAAAATCGGAAGATCATCAGAAGCAGAGATGTCATTTTCAATGAGAATGTGATGTACAAAGACATGTCAACCATAGAATCAAGTAGCTCCAATACCGAAGCTGAAACAAATGAATTTGCTGAGTTCGAGGAGATTTCTGGAAATGATGTTCAGATCAATCCTGAAGCAGTTAAAGAAGAACCAAGCACACCAGAACTGAGACGCTCCTCCAGAATTTCTAAACCAACCCAGTGTTATTCGCCTTCTTTGCACTACTTGTTGCTGACTGACAATGGTAAATCAGAGTGCTACGATGAAGCAATGCAGGTGGAGGATTTAGTCAAGTGTGAGTCTTCCATGAAAGATGAGATGGACTCGCTTATGTCAAATCAGACGTGGTAATTAGTTGAATTACCACCAGGAAAGAAAGCGCTCCACAACAAGTGGATTTTCATGATCAAAGAAGAGCACGATGGGAGCAAACGTTACAAAGCAAGATTGATTGTCAAAGGTTTTCAGCAAAAAAAAAGTATTGACTACAATGAAATTTTCTCTCCAGTTGTAAAACTATCTACAATCAGACTGGTGTTGAAAATTGTAGCTGCAGAGAATTTACATCTTGAGCAGTTAGATGTAAAGACAACTTTCCTTCATGGTGATTTAGAGGAAGAAATCTATATAAGGCAGCCAGAAGGCTTCATAGAGGCAGGTAAGAAAAACCTAGTATGCAGGTTGAAGAAGAGTTTGTATGGTTTAAAACAAGCTCATAGACAGTGGTACAAAAAGTTTGATAGTTTCATGAGTAACAGTGGTTTAACCAGATGTCAAGAAGATCATTGTTGCTACATCAAAAAGTTCAACAACAGCTTTATTATTTTATTGTTGTATGTTGATGATATGCTCGTTGTAGGCTTAGACATGCAAGAGATTATAAACTTGAAGCAAAAATTGTCGAAGCAGTTTGCAATGAAAGATCTGGGCGCTGCAAAACATATTCTTGGGATGAGGATTAAGAGTGACACAAAGTCGAGGATTTTGATGTTATCACATGCTGAGTACATCAACAAAGTACTCTCCAGGTTTAACATGCAAGATGTTAAACCAGTAAGTACACCTTTAGGTGTTCATTTTAGACTCTACAAAGAACAGTCACCAAAGACGGAGGAAGAACGTGCACACATGGTGAAAGTGTTGTATGCCTCAGCAATTGGAAGTCTGATGTATGCCATGGTTTGTACCATACCAGATATTGCTCATGCAGTGGGAGCTGTTAGCAGGTACATGAATAATTCGGGCAAGGTACACTGGGAAGCAGTCAAATGGATCATCAGATATCTACGGGGTACTACAAACAAAGCACTTTGTTTCAAAGGTGGAGATACGATACTGACAGGCTATGTAGATACTAACTTAGCCGTAAATGTTGACATCAGAAGGAGCACTACAGGGTATGTCTATACTCTAGGAGGAACTGCAGTGAGTTGGGTTTCTCAACTACAAAAGATAGTTGTTCTCTCCATAACTGAAGCAGAATATGTCGTTGTTACGGAAGCCAGCAAAGAGATGGTTTGGCTCCAAAGTTTCTTGGAAGAATTAGACAAGAAACAAGAAAACAATGTCTTGCATTGCGATAGTCAAAGTGTTATCCATCTAGCGAAGAATCCATCTTTTTATTCCAGGACGAAGCACATACAATTGAGATATCATTTTATTCGGTCTCTTCTGGAAGATGGGATTTTGAAACTTGAAAAGATCAATGGAGCTCAAAATCCAGCATACATGTTGACAAAGACGGTGACTACGAACAAACTAAAGTTGTGTTTAGCTTTAGTTGGTATGTTATAATAAGAAGACCATAAATAGTGCTGCATTGATCGAGGTGTGAAGACAGATTAAAATCAGTCTTCAAGTGGGAGATTGTTGAAAATCAAAGCC